AAGAACTGGCTACAGGACAAATCATTGTGATGCTCAGATACTTCTAACAGCAATTCTCCAACTTTATGAGAATCACAAGGAAGCTTGCTAAGTGGGTTCCCGCATCTGGTTCTCAACAATTCTTGTTTTGAATCTTTTTAAATTTATGTCTTCTCCACGGATATACTCATCGTTGTTACTGTCTTTCTTGCAAAACAAATTTAGGAAAACAAGACCTACAAGAGCCTTGGGAACACCCTGACGTTTCCTGTAGGGAAGGCACCAATGTCAAGTGGAGGGTTCTGCTCTGCCCCCCACCCCGTCCTGGTTTCTTTCGATGCACAGTATCAGGCTCAACTCCATCCAGTGCCTAGAGTCGCATCGGTTAATAAGAGGTACAAATGCTTCATTGCCACAACACTAGATTCCACTTAGAGGGCATCCAATACATAGCTCTAAGCTTACTTTAGAGATTATGAGATACTAGGTAAGGAAAACAAAATGTGACTCATTAAAAGATGACATATAATCTGAGGTCACTGTGACAAGAAGAGCTTTGGGGAGAGGGATTCCCATTGGAAGGAGGGCAGACACTGAAGGAAGAAACTCCAAAAAGAGCAGGCTAACATTCCTCACCAAGGACATGGAGTTGGAGGGGTACTGGCCTTACCTCCAAGGAAAACTTCCCACCTGTCACGGCAGTGTGGGACTCAGTATTTTAATTATTGTCATGCAGAATTTTCTCCTGTTAAAAGTAGCCATATTGTTGAAACTTTTAAGTTAAAACAAAACTTTTTACTTTTATTGACGTGTATGCATGTGCATGTGTGTACATGTATGCATGCATGCGCGTGTACATGTAGCACACTTGCGCACTGTGGTTCATGGGTAGAAGTCAGAGGGCAGCTTGTGCCTCCAGTGCTGAGCCAGCTCACCAGCCCGCATTGCTGAGCTCTTCACCCACAAAAGCTGCTTGGCCTCATGACTCCGTTTGCACCACAATTTCATCAGTGCTGTCAGACTGCGTGTGCCAACACCTGAGCGCTGAGAATTAGCTCACTCTGAATTTTCTGGACACTGAAATGATTTACCACTGCTTGGATTACTCAAATGCCATCAAATAGAGCTTAAATGGTGTCAGTATGTCACTAAGCATTTATAGACTTTGTAAAGAGGGAGCCTTCGCCCACAACTTTGAATTACTCTTCCTCTGGATTACTTTTCAGTTGCTGAACTGACTTGTCCATATTTTCAAGGGACATCTGCATATTAACAGCAACAGCACAGCCACCAAAAAGTATCAAAAAACCCATTGCCCGAGGAAGGAATGCACAAGGTGCTCTTGGCATGAGGCGGCTCCGTCCCTGAGGCTGCTTGGGAAATGCAGGAATAGTTGCTAGCCTCAGCTCTCACTGTTGCTCACGAACTTCTTGGCCTTTGCAGAAAAGGGCAGGTGGCAGGCGGCAGGTGGGCCTTCTGTGATAAGGGCCTGGGAATGGGAATCTGCTCAGTTGCAATTCACAAGGTCTACCAGATAGAAAATGACTTTATCTAGAAAGATCTGGACTAGAAACAGAATTGAATTCTCTGTCTCCATTCTTGGTGCTGGAAGACTTGGGTCTTTCCTCTGACAGCTTCTTGATTGGATGTGGGGAGAAACAGGTAGATAGATGGCAGATGATAGATAATTAAATGATAGATCGATAGATAGATAGAAAAAGGAGCATATGAATGTTTGTGTTTCTCTACACATCTTTGTGTGTCTGTTTTTTTGTTTGGTTACATCATGCTACAATACTAAATAAGAGTTTCCCAAGGATATGTAAATTGGTTTCTTCTCTTGTACCTGGCCAATCATGTTAGTCATCTGTGGCTTCCAAACTGAATACAGATGCAGGGCTTGCTGTGACACACCCAATGAAGTGGGAACAATTTGGAGGGAAGAGAGATCGGGGAAAAAGCATGACTCTACTCAACAAAAAGGCAGCTTCCCTCATGACCATGGACAACTGAGTGGCCTTCTGTGTGTATACTCATGTCAGGACAGTAATTCCCGTCCCCTTGTGGATGAGGGGGGAGGGCCTATGGCAAGGTAAAAGGATATTTTGATCTGAATGTTCACCATCTTAACTCAGTCTATCATTTAACAAAAGCTCACAATGATTTAATCTCAACAGTAATTTAGTCTACCATCATAGACAAGACTATCAATGTAGACAGCCTATAATTTGTAAAATCCAGGTGCTGGGAATTGGGGCCACCTGTTGAAGTTAATTTTGGAGTTATAATGTGAATTCCATAGTGTAACTAAACATAAAACACTACACATTTATCGGTCTCTGGGACTGCGTGCTGTGGAGACGCGAATGGCTTAACTCTCACTAGGCTCCATGAATCAATAGCAAATCCGACGTCTGTTGGAATTCTGACGCAATAAGCAGTTTTGTGGTTGCCTCACTCAGCATGTCTGTAATTTTTCTGAGGCCCGATGTGAGAGCAGAGAGAAAGTGACATAGAGTCGCGTGGTAATGTGGTAAGGACAGTTCACTGCTCCTTCCTTTGTTAAACTGGAGGGGAGTTTCTCTCTAGCTCCATCCTAGCCCCGCCTGATAGTCAAAACTGAATCCACCAGCAGCTTCCAGGTGCACCTCTGATGGCCACTGGGAGTGGGTGCTCTGCCGCTTACTGGCCAGAGCCACAGCAGCGGTCAAGGGGTCATCAAAGGCCTTTCGAGCAGGTCTGCATTAGCTCCCTGGGACAACGGGACATGGCCCGCTGGCGTGCTGTGCCTGGGGTTTGCACTTGTCGCTTTGCTCGGCACCGTGTGTGCTGTGGTACAACCTTGGAGCAGACCCTGTGGGATGGGTCTCCTTGCCTTCCCCCCTCCCTTTCTCCCCCTCCAGTCCTTCATTATTTTCTCCCTTCATTCCATGCTTTCTCTTCCTTCTCCCTCCCTCCCTTTCTTCTTTCTTTCATGTCTTTCTTCTCCCCTCCTTCTCTACATCATCCCCTCTTTCCTCCCTCCCTTCTTTTTACCTTCCTTCTTCCATGTCCCAGTTTCTTTCCTCCCCTTCCTTCCTTTCCCCTTTCCCTCCCTTCTTTTCTCTCTCCATCCTTCCCTCCTTCATTCCTTCCTTCCTTCCTTCCCTCTCTTGCCTCTTGGATTTTTGACACAAGATGACCTATGTAACTCAGACTGACCTCAAACTTGCCATTTCCTGCCTCTGCCTACAGAGAGTTGGTGTGCGCATACCACCATGCCCTGGGAGATGATGGTATTCTAGGAATAAATTGCACATATTGATAGACAAAGAAGACTCCCATTTACATGTAGCATTTCTTAAAGCAGGGGTAGTTGCTGCTCACATAAGGGCCTGAGATGCTGAAAATGTCATCATCACACCCGTTTAAGTGAACATTATTTGAAGATGACTGCCTTCCTAGTTGGGGACAGCTGAACACTAGGTTACAGAAGGAAGAAAGTATTTGGAATATCTTGCCATGTCAATCAGAGCTTTCAGGATGTTGATCTTTAGGCATTCCCTGTTCACGAACACTTCCAAAATTTGAGGCGTGTTCTCAGTAAACAACATGTGTGAAAATCCAACACCACACTTTGTTCATCACATGCCAGTGACCCCCACAGAATGCCACATCCACCCACAGCCAGAAGCCAGGGCTAAGTGTCCCCACAACTACAGCTCTTATCGTCAGCCTGCACATGCAGATCCCGAGTATGTAATCGATCAACAGCCAAGGCACAGGACGCTGTAGTTGTTAAACCTCTGCTCTGCAGTTTTATGTCTAACCCCAAATGGCCTCCTCCCCGGCCTCCTCCTGTCTACTTCTCCAAGTCCCTCTAGTGCAACTTTCATATTTTCAAACAAACGTTCCGTGCTTCTTGCAGAGGATGTGAGCTCACAGCACTGTTTGCATCTAGCGCCAGCTTCACCTATCAGTGCATTTTGCTACACACATCTCAGGGCATGCCTTGTTCCCATCAGGCGTCCAGGGATGGGAAAACAGAGTCCTGCCTGGAATCCCTTAGGATTCCTCACATCTGTGGCATTCTACGCAGCACAGGCAAGTGGCAACATCGTGACTGTCACTTACAGTCTGACTTACGGGTGATAAGAGCAACCTTCTCACACAGAAGGGACATCTGCAAATATTACTTTGGTTCACAATCATAAAACGCAGGAAAAATACGAAGTAAAAGAGTTGAGAGATTTCAGGCTGTCTTCTAGGTTTATAGACCAGGAGTGGAAGTGTGTTTTTAATAAAAACACACTAGCATTTTCAAATAATCAGAGATAGGTTTAAACCGTATTAAAATATCTTTGGAATCAGGAGACTTGATTCCGTTCCTCCCAGAGGCTCCTACACTGAAGCCGGAGATTTATTAGCCTAAGGAAAGGGGGTTCAGTTGAAAGGAAAGAGAAAAACCCCAGCTTATTAATTATTAGCCAAGCCATGCAGCAGCTTCCCAGAAGGCAAAGGAAAACAGGCTTTCAAGCCAATGGGAGCTGACTATGCCTCCAGCCCTCTGTGCCTGCCAGAACTGGGCTCCCTAGGGGCTGGGGCCTTTCAGCCTAGAGCGGTCCCCAGCCAGAGGGGGACCTGTGGGCTGAGTTGTGGCAGGGGCTCTTTATCCTCTCTTCTGGCGGGGACGGAAGAACAGTAGGGCTGGTCTCTACACCATTCCCATCCCATCCGGCGCAGGGCTTGGCTGGAAAACCCTAGGCTCCTGCAACTGGACATCCATCTGTAGCTGCTGTTCACCAGGATTCTAGTCCAGATCGTTCGCATTTGGGGTCCACTCACCTCATTCCTATTCCCCGATGAACTTTGCACCCTTCTCGGAATAGCAATTCACAACTAGCACACAGCCCTCCCTGCCCCAAACTGGTGCACACTACCGGTATTCCAGCCTCCGAACTAACCAACGCCACCTCCACCTCCGGTGTGCCTCGCCACCCCAGGAAAGAGGACGGGTCAGGTGGGTCAGGCAGACAGGGTGCTCAGCCCGAGCGGCAGGGCAGGTAGGATGGCGCACAAGCTGTCACCTTGTGATCGGCTACACCGAGGTATCCATCCAGCTGCCGGGGTCCAGCGGGGGCGGCTCTCCGTGGCTGGGGACTGCTCTCCACTGGCTGTGCGCTGCTGGCAGTCATCGTCTGCTGCTGCTGCTGCTGCCGCTGCTGCTGCGGGGGCCGCTCCTTCTGGCTGCCCAGGCTGCTGTACACGAGCAACAAGCTGGTGCACATGGTAGTAAGCACTAAACACACTGCCAGACCATGGTGCTGCGGGCGGGAGGGCGAGAGAGAGAGAGAGAGAGAGAAGACAGCGGCTGAGCGTGTGTGTAGCTGGGAGCCTCGCAGCTGCTTATTGACACCAAGCACAAGTCCCGGGCAGCCGCCCCAGACTCCGGCAGCCAAGGAGCAGAGGTGACGTGGTCCAGCACACCTGCCGGGGATGCTCCTGCGTTGCAGCCGATCACAGCCCGAGTCTCACAGTGGAGGGCAGGTGGCGCGCGGTGACCTGCGGCGAGGGTGAGCGCGCCCGCCCAGGGCATTTTGGGGAGGAGGATCTGGTCCCCACCTGAGCTGCTGGGATCCCAGCCCTCTGCACACCATCTCTTCCGGGCCCTTCGGGCTTCCCGCAGCGATCCCCGCTAAGTTTGAAATCCGACTAGGAAGCCAAGAAAGTCGGTGGTGGTCCCTCCTCCCCGCCCCTCTGAGTTTGTGCCCGGCAGTCGCAGTGGGGCACCCTCTTTTCGGGAGAGGTCAGCCTGCTCTTCTGCTCTCCATTCGCCCCTTGGATGACTCGCTAAAGATCCAGGAGCCCAGGCATCTGTAGAGCTCAAGCCCTGTGGAAAGTTGTCACCCTTGACAGGCGACCTCTTGCCACAGGGCTAGGCACCTGCAAGGCTTCTGTGGCCATCCCAGGGACACGGAGCCCCGGGGGTCCTTGCCTCTGCCTGGCAGAGTTGAAACAAGGGACTCACCATCAGGGTCTTCATTTTGAGCGCCTCTTTTGTGCGGAATTCTCAGGCAAGCGCGTCCGAAGCCACTTTTTCTTGGAGGCTGTCCATGGTGGGTGATTGGGCGGAGGAGGCTCGGATGCTCGCTTGGCGGCTGGCGGGCTTGAGGCTGAGCGGGAGCGGGAGCCACGGGACCCGGGAAGCGCTGCTGTTGCCGAGATTAGAGGAGAATTAAAACTGAGCCGGACCCTCCGTCTCGCCGCGATCCACACACCGCCGCCGCCTGCTGCCGCCTGCTGGGTCCTAGAGTCCTCTGCAGTCCCCTCCCAGCCCCCAAAGCATCTTTTCAGGGAAGTGCAATTTCTGGGGCAGACAGTTAACCGCAAGGGTGTACCCATTTCTTGGTTCGGAGGTGTATTATCTTTTAATGGAGCCATCAAGATAAAAGAACTCAGAACCGAATTCGATTCTGAACACGGTGGCCGTTTGGAAATTTACTAACCAAATTTTCAGTTTTGTGATTTCAATTAAAACAAGTTACCCTCCCAAATGTCAATAGATCTATTTATACTTGTATTTGGCGACCACAGCCGGGCAAATGCTGCCATGGGATTGGCTTCCTGAAAAAAAATTATGTCACTGAATGTCTAGTTGTTTTCAAATGTCCTTTTCCTCCTTAGTTTTGACAAATCGTTAGTCTCATGCTTCCTTTGGGCCGTACTCCTTCATGCAAATGACTTCATCCATCATTTGCTTCCAGGAACACAATTTATATTTCTGCTCAACCTTTGAGTCCCTAGTGCTCGGTTAAATGATTTTAAAGTTTTTGAAACAGCCAGTGCATCCTACCCATGTAATTAACCAGGACTACGGGCACCTTCCTAATTTCAATGGAGAACTACTGGCTTTGGGAGATAACACACGATACTGCAGTATAAGAACCCGGTGCTTCACTCATGTGAGTTATGCACCAATGTACACAACTCCCCATTCAGGACTTAGATTACAGTGAAAATCCCGGCCACCGTTCAGTGTGGAGGCCACATCAGCAACCTGAGAGCTCTCAGGGCATTTTGTCCCCATGTCCAGTGAGAGACATATTTCTTGTGAAACTGTTCGGCACACACAGTGCCCTCACATTGGGCCCTTGGCAGCATGCAGCTAAAGATCTCATTGAGACGGGGATGACCCGCAGGCCACCTGGACCATGGGTGTAGCAAGAGCTTTTCCGGGGCCAGCAGAGGCATGACAATCCTTTCCTAATAGTTCCTAATCTACCGCTGGACGGACGATACCACAGGGACTATTTTTAACTGAAGAGGCCTACTTCCAAACTCTATTAACAAAGTCAAAAATGATTGGTTCTGCAACAGACATCCCAGAGACAGAAACACACGCTATGGAGCCTTTGAAGGAAAACACAAAAAAATTCGAAGCACTGTCCAACACTGCCAGCCGTGAAGTCAGCTGTTTATTCAATTTGTGCTGTGGGCATGAATAGTGCCTGTTGTCTGGGCAGGAAGAGCAGCAGCCGGAGGAGAATCTTATCAGGTCTTGGCAATTCTTTGTTGTGTGGCTGCACTTGACACTCAAATTAATGAAACAAAGGGACCAGCTTGATGAATCACTGCAAGCAGATTATCTTTGTTTCTCCAATGCTGCTCTGTAGGCTCAGCTAGACGAAGCTCCTGCCTTCCTCGGCCCGTTCTTCCTCCATCTAGCAAGTTGCCCAGTGACCGATAAAACCTTACTCATATATTTTACCTTGCCAAACAGAGACATCATATTTATGACTTAACCTTTCGGCGGCATGTTGGGCATCTGTTACCTGGTGTGTAACCAGACTCGTTATGCCTATGCCCCCCCCCCCGAACTGTAGTTAGCCAGTCACAAAATTATTTACAAAATGAGTAGAGCACATTTAAAATTTCAGTTCTCAGCTTGATTGGAGGGACTTAAGGTATCTGACTTTCCAGTATATGATCAGGATGAGGAAACTCTTGTAGGGATTCTGACTTGGGAGTCGAATGGGCAAGGTTGGACCAGAAAACTTAATGAACAGACTATGGAAGAGATCTATAGATTCAACATTTTATTTATTTTATCAAGTATCTACTTTTGTAAGGAGTAAGGTTTTTCCTCCTGCCACTGGTCTGGTCCCACCTCCACGCCAGCCCCAATTAACACACTGAGACTCTGTATTTGATATAATTTTGTTGGCCCATTACTTGTTTTTTATTGGCTAGTTTTGTCTTAAGTATTAACCCATTTTTGTTAATTTAATATTTCCACATTTTTTTTTAAACCGTGAAAAGGGGCCAGCGTCTCGTCTCCCCAGTCTCTCCATCTTGACTCCTCCTTCCTACTTCCTCTTTCCTCCTTGTCTCCTAGTCCCTCCTATCTCCTTTCCTATTGGCCAACAGTGCTTTATTCATTAACCAGTATGAGAAACATATATACATAATGACATCTCCCATCATACTTTGTTAAGCACCTACTTGTTCCAGATAGTGGGTGGGGCCTGGGTCTGCTCTTCTCAAGGAACTTGCAGTCTATATTCTGGTAAGTGCTACACATTTTTATGCTACAGAATTGGGGGTTGGTAATGTACAGAATTGTTTCTCAGCTTTACCTCACTAAGATCCCAGCACGTGGGAGGCACAGGCAAGTGAATCTCTGTGAATCCGAGGCCAGAGCTGTTTACATATCAAGCCAAGTCAGGACCACATAGTGAGACCCCGTTGTTTTGTACACTGTGAAGACTTGTCTCTCGGTTTGGTTTGGTTTGATAAAAATATGACTGGCCCATAGCTAGACAGGAAGTATAGGCCATGAGCCTTAGCGTAGAACATAGATTAATAGAAATGGGTTAGTTTAAGTTGTAAGAGCTGGTTAGTAATAAGCCTGAGCTATTGGCTGAGCATTTACAATGATAGTAAGCCTCTGTGTGGTTATTTTGGGAGTGGTTGCTAGAACACAGAGAAATGCTGCTTATGCCCCGCCTTGAAAAAATACTCAGGAAGTTTGAGATTTCATGGGTGTTCATCTCAACTTATGACCTTTATATAAACCTTTCAGATATCAAGCCGAATGGCCAGAACAAACATAAAATAGGCAAATTAATGAATACTAGATTGACTTGGAGGCAAGTAGACAGGTAGACAAGTCAATGTAGGTTTTCAGTTCATCTGGCTTTGGCAGTTCAATACAGAGAGAGCAGAGGAGTAAAATTTGCCTCTCAAAACCCAGGTAGCGGAGACAGATTTCTCACCATTTAAGATTTTGCCGCATTTCTGCCTCTCCTGCTATCACATCTAATCAAATTGGTTCCCGTTTTTGAAAAAAAAGGGAATGGAAAAGAAATTGGGTGTTGCACAATGTAGTTTATGTGATAAAAACAAGCGGAGAATTTACGAAGCGAGGCATGCTCTGGGTGACAAGAGGGTAGGTGGAGTCTGAAGTGTGGAGGGGAACCCAGCTTTGCACTAGGGCATAAAGAGCAGAAGAGCACAGAGCTGGCAGAGGAGGCAAGGGGCGCAAGGCAGACTGCCCAGGAGCTCCCGGAGGAGTATGGCTGCCTTCTATGGTGTGGCCTCAGAGAAAAGGAAGACATTTCCGCAAGGCACAAGAAGAGCAAAGTTTTCAATAATGGTAGGAAGTCCCAGAACGTGTTTGACATTTCTTCATCTGTGCTGTAAACTTCACTTTCTTCTGGTCTGTCAGAGATCCGACTCTAGCTCTTACCGCTTCTTAGTGCTGTGAACCTGGCGTCTTAGTCAGCTATTCTGTGTGTGTGTGTGTGTGTGTGTGTGTGTGTGAGCATGCATTTGAGTACGTGTGAGTGTGAGTGAGCATGTGAGTGTATGAGAGAGTATGTATGTGTATACGTGTGTGAGTGTGTGTAAGAGGGTATGAGAGAGGTGTGAGTGTGTAAGCATGCGTGAGTGTGAGTGTGTGTATATATGTGCGTGAGTGTGTGTGCGAGTGTGTATATGAATCGGCATGTGAACTTACATGCCACAGCACACATGTTGAGGTCAGAGGACAGCCTTGGGTGCTGGCTCTCATTTCCTCTCTTCTTGTTTGCAGCATGGCCTCTTGCTCACCACTGCTGGGCTGACATGGGAGCTCCTGGAGGGGGTACCCTGCCTCCACCTGCCCCGGCTTCCCCATGGGTGCTGCCGATTCTGGCTCAGGTCCTCACAGCTGCACGGCTACTTTACACACTGAGCCAGCTCTCCAGCCCCAGTAAAGGCTTTTTAAGGGGTTTGAACCTGGTGTGAAAAGGGCAGAGACGGGGAGTGTGCTTTAGGTGGCGTCTCCGTGAGACGTCCAGGCACTCTTAGCTCAGGAGGTCTGTTGGGCTGAGATGCAATGGGCACTGTGGATGCGGATGGCTGTCACCATCTGGGAATGAGCTAGCACAGAGTAGAACGCAGACCTGAGGTCTACGTGTTTCCAGTTTCATGTGGCAAGGAAAGGACTTGTGGGTGTCAACCACGATGCTATGTATGATGTAGGTGGCTGGTGATTTTCATTTTGGATAGATTCTCCACGCTAATGCAGTTAGTCTCGAAACACTTTTCAAATTCTATTATCATGCCAAACATATTTAATCATATTTATTTCTGTAGTTATTGATAACCCTCCCTACCAAATTTTATATATATATATATATATATATATATATATATATATATATATATTGTGGATAACGTTTCATTGCTATTATACCTAACCAAGCCTACCACAAAATTGGGATTAGTAATATTAATCACTGACATTTATCCATCCCTTACTTTGTACCAGTATTATTCTGAGAACTTTGCGTATATAGATCACTTGGTCAGCCAGCCAGCCCTGGGGATCCACGCTGTCTTTGCCTCCCCTGCATTTAGGACTGTAGGTGTGTATCTCAAATTCTGATTGGTCGTAACAGTAAAGATGCTGAGCTCCAGGCCCCATGAGAAACTCTGCCTGAAATACTAAACTGCTATAGACACCTGAAAGCAGCCGTGGGTCTCCATACATGTGCACTTGTGTGTGCACATGCATCTCCACACACATGCACACGCCACACACACATGCACACGGCACACACACATGCACATACCATACACATGCACACACCATACACACATGCACACGGA